TTATCCAGGGACATCTGGCTCTGACTCTAGCTGCCTGGGTTCGGGGCAGGACTGAGACAGGTAATTTTGATTTCTCTCTGTTTCCATAGATTTTCAATTTCTTCAAGCAACTCCACTTTGACTCAATATCCTTCTGAAATCTAAATTTGGACCCTAACTTGAATCGATTGTTTTTCCTGTTATGACAGAGCTGCCCTGGGCTTCTGGGAGGGAGCGCTGGTGTGCACCCTTCAGAGCCACTGTGCTGGGTCCTCTGAGAAGGGTGGGACAATGAAGCCCACAGCCCTCCAGCTTCCCTGTACGTGGGAGGGGGCTGGACGCCGGGAAAGTGCCGTGGTGATCATGAGTCTTGGTCCTGTCCTTCAGGGGCTGGGCTTCCCTGGCTAACCCACGTGGCCTCCTTGCTCCCCTCCCTCCTCATCTCTAAAACAAGAGAATAAGTAACTGCCTCCAAAAGTGACAGGAAAGGCAACGGAGAGCTACAGGCCTGCACAGAGCTACCTGCTAATCCAGCAGGAAAACCATCTGCCCCTGATGCCTGATGCTGGCGCAAAACTACACGCCACCAACTTAAAAGTGTTTTAACCAAGTTCTCTGTTCTCTCTGATTATTTCCTGTAATCAATGAGTTGATTTTACACTACAAAAAGCAATATCAACCCATATTCATATCATTAAATAATCCACTTTAAAAAGCACTGATATTTGCTGGTGCCTAACCTGACTGCTTCACTTCCAAGCTCCTTGAAGGATCTGGTTCCTTTCAGCCAGGAAGATGAAGACTACACCAGACTCCAGATGGTAGGGGGCAAGATGGCTGGGGCAAGAGGGCAGAGGTAAGACGGTGCAGGCTATATGGTGAAGGACAGAATTCGGAGGCAAGATGGTGGAGGCAACATGGCGGAGGGAAGATGGCGGAGGAAGATGGCGGAGGGAAGATGGCGGAGGCAAGACAGTGCAGGCAATATGGTACAGAGGAGATGGCAGAGGTACATGATGGGATCAAGATGGCCCAGACAAGATGGCACAGGCAGCACAGCTTCCAAGTACTCAGTTTTCCTAGCCAAGTCCTTCCAGCTCTCTCCCCTCCCCACATCACCCAACCCAACCCAGCCTTTTGGAGCTGAAGGTTATCTCCTCTGGCTTTCATTTACTTCCTAAAACCAGCTCCCATCCAGTCAATCAACAAGGTCAAGGGCCCACATTTCGTCCAACATGCCATGGAAGGTGCTGAGGGGTGGAGGAGGGATGGAAGTCTACAGTGTGGTTCCAGCCCTTCCGGAGCCTGTCGTCTCATTCAGAACTCGAAACTCCAAGGCACAGGAGTGCAGGCCACTGACCAAGCCTCAAACACTCAGACAGCAAGAGCTCAGACAGTGAAGCCTGCAACAACCCCCACCCCCCAGAAGGTGACCTGTGCCAAGCCTAAAAAGGATGGACACCTGGGGAAGGGATCAGGAGAGCAGAGCAAGCCAGGACCCCTGGCACAGCTCCAAGACCAGGGCTGTAATGTGGAGGCTGAGACCCCCAGGTCAACGCAGGGTATTCAGCAAGCAGATGAGTCTGGCTGGGGTGAGAACACAGGCCATGCCCCTACACTATATGGGCAGGCACCGACTGCCAGCCTCCAAGGGGACTGGGATCCCTTAGGACACAGGAACCACTGGAAGGTGCAGGGGCCCTTGGTAGTGGTTGCTTTCCAATCAGAGAGCTGGGCCACTGTGTGCCCAGCAGAAGAGAGGAGACCAAGACACAGCACTCAGTCAAAGGACAGCGCCACAAGAGTCCAGGTACAGGAAATAAAGGCCCAAGGAAGGAGGAGGGGAGGGGACCTGATGGAAGAAACGGAAGAGCTGTGAGGGAGATTCTGGAGGAGAGAACATCTAATTCACACCTGTGCTTCTCAGCACCAGCTTCTCAGCTTTCTCTTTAAAAGGTCCTTCACCGCCTGTACTAAGAAAGGATGACAACCTGTAACTGCTTCCCAAAAAGCAGGACACCAGGCCTTGGCAGCAGGTCTCAGCAGAGGGGTCAATTCGGAGGCAGTCTGGGTTACCCCTGGCTCTCAGCAGGCCCAACACAACCTCCCTGCCATCAGAGGAGTGGCAGTAGGGATGGCCACATAACAGCAGGGAAAGGGCCCTCCCAGAGCCTCCCCTGGAGCCTCCGAAGTCTATAGGACTGAGCAGCTTCTAAGAGGCCATCTCTCCTGTGCATCAGAGGCCTGGAAGTTCCTACCAGAAGCCCAGTTGCAGGTCTGAGCTAAGGAATAAGGAACGCTGAGGTCAAGGTTTCCCTCTCCTTCAGTGGCAATGGGTGCAGACAGGAGCAGAGCAAAAAGCCATGGGACGCCAGGGGCCATCTCCCCAGGGAGGGGCAGCCTCTCCTCCTCCTCTGGCCCCTCCATGCAGAAACAGCACAGCCACAGGCATTAACCAAACAAGCACAGGCAGAAGAGGGAGGGCTGGAGGGTGGGGAGGGAGAGGGAGGTCCTCTCCATTACGGGAACCTGCCCTGCGCTTTTCCTCCAGGTTTCCTGTCACTACAAATTACACCCGGCGGCTAGGAGGGTAACATCTGCCAAGGCCCAGCTTGAGCTCCTTGCTTGCCCAGGAAAAGCTCTGGACTGGGCCTTCCTGCCAGCTCCTTTCGGAGGCTGGAAGTCCAGAACACTCAGCCTCCCCTCACCCCCACAGCCCCCAACTCAACAACATGAGAACCGTTCCCATGGCAGAAGCCCACGAGATAGACCCCCAGCCATTGGACACAAGTCTCAGCTTCTCAGAAGCCCCAGCCAGCTGGGGTTGGCCCATGAAAGAGTTTTCTGCCCTTGCTCTGCGTGATGTAGGTGAGAGCACGGAGCAGTGGGTCATGGTCCGGGTCACGAGCTTGTTAGAGGTAAATTCCCAGGCCCAACTCCAGACCTACTGAGTCAGAGACCTGGGAAGTGGAGCCCAGAAATCTGTGTCTTATCAAGCCCTCGTAGTGATTCTGAAGCACCCTAAAGATCAGACTCTAGTGCAGCGGCTGAGAACCTCCATCCTGGAGCCAGATGGTCCAGGGTCAACTCCCAGCCCTATCATTCACTGGCTGGATCACTGTGAGCAAGTTGCCCTGGAGCGAGTAAGAGCAGCAGGCTCAGAGGGACACTGCAGAGACTCGATGGATTCATTATGCCTGTTACGCTTAGGAAATACCATGTAGGATTTTATTAGTCCTGTTGGGGGCTGTGGCTGTCTCATAGCTAATGATCCCCCACAGAAACTGACCACAAAGTGGTCAGTGTCCCTGAATTCAGCCAAGAGTCAGGGACTTGGGCTGTCCACTGGGCTCCGGGGACATACCTATGGCAGGTATCTGTGCCAAACATGAGGTCTACTAAGCCTCTGATTCCTCCAGAAATTAGCTGTGGGGTCTTGTTTACACTGGTTCATTTTGGTTTTAGACACTTGGGAGAAGAGCTTCTTCAAGGCTCCAGTGGGCTCCCCCACACCTAGCCACACCACCTGCAAGGGGCAGGGGCCAGACCTGCTTCACACTGCAGATGGTGGTCAAGGCATCCCCTGGGTGCTTCCTGACTGATGCAGAAAGACCCTGAGGCCCTCTTGTGAGCAAGGAACTGACCACAACTTCCCTGGAATCATCCAGAGGGGACCATCAGAGAGCAGGAAGAGAACAGTCTGCATCGTCCTCCTCCTCCTCCCTGTCCCCTGCCACCTGCCGCAGGGCTGATCCCTTCTCACAACAGTGAAAACAGTTAAGTATGGTCCCCAACAGTACACAGGTCCCACCTATACTTGCCCCTCCACATATTTCTTTTTTCAGCAAACCTCGTAATCAGAAGGACATCATAGGCCAAGAACACAGGCTGTGTGGCTAACCAGACGCAGGGTTCTGACTGGAAACCTCACTGCTTCCTAACGGCAGGACTCGGAACAACTTAGCCTCGTTTTTTCATTTCCCATATAGGGATGGGGTGGAACCACCTTGGACTGACATGGACGTTCTGAGATAATGCACTCGTGATGTCTTTGCACAGTACCTGGCACACAGCAGAATCCCACCCATCATTTATCAGCATTATCTTTATGATCATCTGAAGTTCTGGAACTGCCACGTGAGAATATGAGTTAGGAGCCCAGGAAGGGAGGAGCCTTAGATAAACCCATCTAGGATCCTGCAGAGCTGCCTGAATTCAACTAGGCAATACCGATGTTGGGGACAGCAAGTGTCCAATGACCATCAGTCCCTGGGACTGGGTGTAACCAAGGAACATTAAAAGTCTCCCCCTTCTCCCTAAGAACACTTTAGATGAGGCAGATTCTGGCCACTGTTACAGATGGATGCCACACCTCACTTTGCTACCCTCTGAACACCTGTTTCCCAGGACTGCGGGGGAACTTCAGCAGTTGTCCCTCTGCAGCAGCGTGGGATGAGAAATGGGAGTGTTCTTAAGAGCAGCCTCCACTGAGGCAGCAGGAAGTACTCCTTATTAGCTGCGCAGCTCGCCTTCAGAGAAACACATCCATTCAACTTATTACAGAAGGGCATCAGCTACACCACCTGGGGCCTTGACTCTGCAGACACTCAAGCCGCTGATCCACCCCTACACCGGCTCTGCTCCCCACTACATGCAGTGCTCAAGCAGCATTTTCTCCCTAGACATCGGCCCACGCCTCCAGTCCCAGTTGGCTGTTCTGCCAGTTCCTGCGCTCTGGCTGGAGTCACCAAGGAATGATTTCCTGCCTGGCATGCGGGGACCGGGCGCCAACGGCATTGACATGTTTCCAAGCTAAAACCAAACTTACTGTGGGGCACAGAAAAGAAGCAAGCGTTTGTTCTCCCAGCAGCCCTCGCCTCCTGCCCAACACCGGGCAGGGAAGGTAAGAGGGAGCGCGCTGAGCCCCTGGAGTGCGGACCACAGAGCGCAGCGCAGAGAGCCCCGGGAGCTCACCCACGACCGCCCGCCCGAGCGGTCCCGTGGCGCCAGCGCGTCCTTACCATTCAGCTGCCGGTAGACGATGTCCTCCAGCAGCGAGAGGCGCTTCAGCACTGCATCCTGGATGGGGCTGGCGCTGTGCGCGCTGAGGTTGGCCACCTCGGCGCGCGGCCGGATCTCGTGGAAGGCGTCTCCGCTGCGCACCGCGATGGGCCGGCACTTGGCCAGGAAGAGCACGAAGCCGGCCACCGCAATCAAGTTCAACACCAGCAGCACTTTGACTCTTCTCAGTGAAGCCATCAAACAACCCGGCCGGCCCTCGCCCCGGACCCGCGCCCCCTCAGACTCCGGTGAGGCGCGGGACAGCCTGGGGCTGTGCGAGCCTCACACACCTGGCGGCGGGCGAGGATCCCCGCCGCTGCTGGCCCCAAGTGGAGAAGCTCCGGCAGCAGAGACGAGTGGTCGGGAGAGAGCGCAGTTGCTCACATGGAAGCACTGGGTCTGCAGAAGTGCTCCCCAAGACGCCTGCTCAGCCAACAGAGCGCAATCCCTTCCAGGATTGGCGGCGAAAGGTCGGGGCTGGGGTGGAGGGTCTCTATGCACCAGCAAGGGGTTCGCCTCTGAACCTTGGGCCACGGCGGCCGCAAACCCCGGGCCGGCGGGCAGGCAGACCCAGCTAGTCCGGAGCGGGGAGGGAGCGGCGCGCAGGTGCCGGGCTCAGGGCTCGCCGTCTGCCCGCGGATGAGCGCGCCCCCCCGGGAGCCACACAGCCACCACCCTCGCCCGAAGCAGCCGTCGCGGCGCACGAGCCGCGCTCTTCAGCCGAAGATCCGCTCCTCCCGGCCGGTGCCTTTGTTCCGCTCACCGGCCCGCTCCATCACGCCGGGCGGAGGAACAGCCCGCACCCGGCGCCTGCATCCTCGCAGGTCCGCAGTCACGACCAAGTCTCAATCACTCTCAAAGTAGGGTCAGCACTCGGGGGCCTGGGCCACTCGCGACGTCCTCTCCGTCCCTGGCGCCGGGGCCACCCCGCCCGACCCGCAAACTCACCAGCGCGCACAGCGCCGCGGACTCTCGGACACGTTCCAAGTCTCGGCACCACGCAGGGAGCTTTCGGGGCCTGCCGGGCACACTGGCCTGTCTCGGAGCTGGTGCGTCGCAAGGCTGGCCGGAAGGAGGAGTCGGACCTCAAAAGTCACAGCAGTTCTCGATCCCCCTCCCAAAACGTCGCGGGCAGCGCGGCGGGGAGGGACGCGCGCCGGCGCACCCAGCGCTTGTCAGAGCGGGCCGCGCGGCTCGTCCCGCGCCCCAAGGACCCAAACGCCTAGTCTCCCAATTGGCGGACGCAGTGACACCGCCGCTGCGGCACCGAGAGCCCCCACTACCCTGGGGCTGGAGAGCCCGGAGGGGACGCGCAGG